AGCAAAAAGTGTCTCACTCTGCGTATTTTTAAGCCATAAAGATTAAAGTCACCATAGAATGGAGTCGGAAGAGCATCCAGAAAACGCCTCACATTTTCCCGATAACGCATCCAGGCGCGGGGGCTACGCCGGCGTAGGGAAGCCCCTACGCCCATGTATCTGCGAGGGAAGGAATCGTGCATGATCTCTGGTAAAACATCCATGTTAACTAATGAAAGTGCTATTTTGCCTAGTTTTCCCGTAAACATTGCAAACTTCGGATTATCGCTTGTAATATGTTTAACATTTATTTGAGCCAATAACGGGTGGTTCCACGTTAGGCTGATTTTAGTGGGACCATGAACAATCGTCCATTGTTATGTTAGCAATTAATGACAGATCATGCAATGGCTGCTTGCAGCCTGCCGTATAATATGGATAATAATATACACGAAAAAATTACTCAATTCTGATTGGGTGAGAAAGGAGTGCAGTTCTCCGGTAACATGAATCAAGGGCTCGTGCACTTTTGTTGGTCTTTGAAAATTGTACTCGTGCTTTTTATTCCAAATTGCACTCGAAATCATGTGATTACCTATACTAATACGAGGAGACGACAGATAGTCGTACTAAAGTGTAACCATCTTTTATTCGCTCCCAACAACGGATTTACAGCAAATAGAAAACGAAACAACACTATCAATTGGCCAGGGGTCAACTGTCAGCGGTCCCTTTGTTCGGAGCTATTTAAATGAGCGGATCTTCAAGATGAACAACAAACAAACAACAACAAATTAAATGAGTCCAATTTGAAGCGGGAGGAAGGGAAACTGTTTATATGTTGTCTCCTTCATTTTCGTATAATCCATATTATACTGCACGTTGCAAGCAGCCCTTGCATAGTCCGTGATTTTATTACATGGTACGGCCAGTCTTTAGGCAAATCTGTGCGCTCTGGTTAGTTCTTCCTCGGTCGGGATTTTGCAGTACGGACCGTTTCCATGGAAATAGTCCAAGCCGGGTATTTTTCTTTGGAGCAAAGCCGGCAAATTCAAAAATTTGGACCAAACCAGCGAAAAAAAGTGAATATTGTCATTTTTCTCAGCGAAACTATCAGAAAAAGCTAAAAAGATTGAAATTTTACCGAGATTTCAAAAATGGATGAAGAAGACAAACATTCTCCGACTGAGTATTATTATCCTGAAAACGTTTGATACAGAAACTGAAACAGGCTTCACCGAAAGCCAGGAGGCTATAAAAGATTTTATCAACCAACAGAAAAGTGCAAACACAAACAAGAAGACGGCTACTGATATAAACACTCTTTTCCACTACATGGAAGCTTATGGTATAAAGCGCAGTATACAGCGATACTTAAGTTACATGAAATATTCATTTAACATAATTAAGGACAATGAGTTCGAAAAATCTAGAAATTAGTCCTTGCAGCGAAGCGAAAGTCACTTCACGAGCACGGCAAAGGGAAGCAAACCGCAAGCTGTTCAGGCCATGGACGAAGACGAAGAGGATGCCCTTTTTGAAGCACGAGAATTCTACAACTCCGACCCAGCTAGTTGAACTTCAAAGAGCTGGGACGAAATTCGTAAGTTACGCTGGGGCGACGTTCAGCTCCAGCCGCAGAATGGTTGCCAAGAAGTCTTGGTTTGGTTGGCCGAGCTAGGAACGAAGACTCGACATGGTCAGGAGAGAAAACACCAAAGAGCGTTCCAACTAAAGATTTATGCCACCAATACACAGCGAGATGTTCTGTCAGTTTTTACAAAAAATTCCACAGTCACCAGCCAGTGGAAATGAACGCATCAGAATCACGATTTTACTTGGTGGCCGTCTCCGGCATAATCAACGCTCAAATGAAGAAGTTTGGTATGTGAAGGCACCCCGGCCTCGGAAAAAATAAAATACAACATGTAGGAAAGTTTTTGTCCACTCAGCGAAGAATGCTGGCCTTCACAGAGAAGGAAAAAAAAGTAGCCAATCATTCTGCGTAATGGAATTTGTGATGATCAAAGAGTTAACATACTGTAAAATTCCGAGAATAAGCCCCTCCAAATATAAGCCCCTCAAAATCGTAACGCAAAAAACCCTCCGTTAAATCGCCCCTCCGAATATACCCCTCCCCCGGGGCGCTTGTACATGGAATTTGCTCTCGAATACAAAGTAAAACAAAGCAAAAATGGTAAATTTCCTTCCCACAACAAGCTAGCCCAATCGATTTTGAAATCCAAATTTCCCTCTGTACATAAGCCCCTCCAAAAATAAGCCCCTCAACAAGGCCTTTGAAAAATATAAGCCCCGGGGGCTTATTTTCGGAATTTTACGGTAGTTGGCAACAATTTGTTTATGAAATTATAGCATAATTGTAATAACAAAGGTCGTCAAGGTCGTTTGTGTTTAGTAAAATGGAGTTTTAATATATTCATAACTGTCCGGTGGTTTGGCACCCTCGCAATTAAGGCAATGATTTGCTTTTAGTTCAATTCAACAAGTCTACCCTTGACAGTGATTTTAAATTGCCTTCTAAGAAAGTTGAAACTATCTTAATGGGTTTCAATACGTTCAACTCAACTGACAAAACGAGAGAGAAAAAAGCTCCCCTAATTGATATAACTGTATTAAGATTAGACAAAAGAGGATAAAGACGAGATAATTCATGTAAGCGTTATGAATTCTGTGCTTAAGTATCGAAAGTATCTAACGTCACAAACCGGGTTCTGTTCAGTTTTGGTCTCATTCCCCTGTGGAGACCAGCCCCCGAACTTTGCCATTACAGGAGCCCATATGGGCTCCTGGCCATGCAGGTATTGCCTATCTCATGCTTTTCTGCGCCACGTTTTACTTTTTTTTAGTGTTTTAAACATTTTTAAAGGTGATGTTTAATTACCTTCCCAGAGAAGTTTTCGTTTGCTGTTAGCGTACAAGAAAATATATATTTGATCTATTTGACAAAAATTCACGTCATAATGTTATGACTCTCAGTGATTCTTTGCAACACACCATTTTCCAAATTTTTTAATTCACTGCAATTGAAGTGTTTCAAAAAAACCACAAGATGATTAAAGTTACTCTTTGTGCCCTGTAGATATGTACGTAGAAGCTAGTAGTTTGTTGAATGTACCGTAAAATTCCGAAAATAAGCCCCGGGGTTTATATTTTTCAAAGGATCTTTTTGAGCCGGGCTTATTTTTGGAGGGGCTTCATATATTCGGGGGGGTGCTTATATACGGAGGGAAATTTGTGCTTCAAAATCGGCTTGGCTTAAGAGATAATTCCTTTTTTAGAAGGGGGGTGGAGGGTGGGCCGGAGGAATTCAGGGGAGGGTCATTAACTTTTTGCCTGCCCAAAAAGGGAGGGTCAGCATAAATTTGACACAACAAAGAGGGGGGGTCACTTAATTTTTTTTTAATATTATACAAGTTTATACAAACTGATCTTTGAACCCTTAACGTTACAAAGCTAATTTGAGTCTCAAATAAACTTTGTGCCACTGAAATGTATAAAAGCCCCAGTCGCACCAACTGAATTGATTATTAGATGACAACAACAACAACAATTTTTAATATCTGAAAGAAACTGTTAAAGAGAAGTTTGGTTAACACAGACTGGTTGTTAAAATAATGTCACAGTTCCATGTCTGTCACTGATCAGAGTGAGAGTCACTTAGGCTCTCACACTGGACGAAAAAATGGATTTACTAGGGTAGCCAAATTACAGCAAATATGTAGCAAATACCACATTTGCACAATTTTGCGCAAGAGCAAAGACTGATATTGCACTAGATTTGCTATCCGTAGCAATGACGGTAAATGCCACATTTGCACAACATTTACATCTTGGTGCAAAGATAATGGGCAGCCATGGATTTGAGGGTCATTTGCAGATGGTTCAAATGTGTAGGCAAATATGTTTCTTTGAACTATATTTGCACATTACGCAAATGATAGCGCAAATCTGCTGTTTTGCACAGCTTTTGCTTTAGATGTAAAAGCATGTAAACCTGTTATTTTCAGAGCGTTAACGCAGCTTTGCAAATGTGAGCGAAGTATCTAATTTGAACAATGTTTGCTTGGGTTATCATGGGTGATCAAATTTTCATAATTGAACCAGATTGCTTTGCATAGCAAATGTAACCAAACTCTTTGTATTAAACATGTATGCCCACGAAGCAAATGTTAGCAAACCTAAACTTTGAACAAATTTTCTAGGGTGTGCAAATTTGATCAAACACAGAATTTTGCTTGTAGCGGCAAATGTGGTCAAAAGTCAAGTTTTGAACAAAGTTGCTTAAGCAGCAAATCTGATCAAACTGTTACTATTGTACAATTTTTTCGCTCAGGTAGCAAATGTAATCAAATTCTGACTTTAATTTGGTTAGCAAATGTCATCAAACCCATAAAATTGAGCATTTTTTCACAAGTAGCAAATGTAAATTCCAAGGTTTAAACGAGTTTGCCTGAGTTGTAGCAAATGCGATAAAATTTTTAAATTATTTTTAATTATAACATGGCTCACTTCAGGTTCATAACAAGTGGCTATAATTAATCTTGAAGTTTATAGCTTCAAACATTAAAGTTACTGAAAGAAATTCTAGCAGTGACCTCCCATTATAATGTTCAAATGATTTATTCCATAAACCAAAGTGGCTTACACATTATTACAGACTTTACAAACTACAGTATACAGCTGTACATACAGCTCTTCATATTAATTCCCAATTTTACAGTTCGTTGATGTTTACTTGTCTCCACTCTATCAGATCATTACTAACTATTAATATTATAAGAAAAGTGTTCTTCATCTAAATGTGTAAGATATTCTACAGACAGCTGTAGGTGTGTTAGAGTTGCCTCAAACCTATTTCAGTTGTTTAGCTTTTTTTGCAACTCAGAAACAGGTTAAAAATCTTTTTTACCCTTGGGCCAATATTTACTTATGACAAGACTATTTCTTACTTAAACTTTTGTATCTAAGGACAAAATCCTGTTCCAACCAAATGGAACCCT